GCGCGAAACCATGGCGGGAGCGTCGAAACCAAGGCGCCGTCCCACCGCGCGCGCCGTTGCGGTCGGCAACCTAAGTGGCCCCCCAGAAGAGGCCTGCAGAGGCCACGAGAGGCCGGAATTCGCGCGAAACCACAGCGGGAGCATCGAAATGCAACAGAATTCGCGCGGAACCACACGGCAGCATTGAAACGCAACGGAATTCGCGCGAAACCACACCGGTAGCGTCGAAACCGAGGCCCCGTCCCACCGCCGCGCGCGCCGTTGCGGTCAGCAACCAATTCCTTTACTCTGAACGTAAGAACCCCATTGTGCAAGCACTGTTTGGGGAATAATAATTCGAAGGGGTTTCATGTTAGTTTATTAATTATCTTATATTTCGAATGATTAAAATAGTAATAAAATAATCATTGTATATGGGTTTGTTTTTTTAGGGGGGGATTCAAGTTTAAGAAGGGCATACGGGTGGATTTTGAGATGAAACAGACAAAAGGGAGGAGGGGGATGGAGATTTGGACATCTATTGGAATTCTTCAAATAATAACTTTCCAAAGTAATTGCCTCAATCGACGATTCTGCACGAATCATCCGCACCAGTTATTCTTCCGATGTTGTCCCTGAAAATCGATTCTGGATGCCCTTGCAGGGGACGAGGCGAGGTAGGGTTAGGTTCTTGTGAAGAAAACTTAATACACTCCGTTGCGGGGGCGAGCTGCGCGCCAGGCAAAAAACCTGTCGCCCTTTCGTTTTCTTCGCCGTCGCGCCTAACTCGGGGATCACACCGCGAAAGCCTTCTTTTCCTCCTGGGTTGATCCAGCCGGGCGCCACAAAGTCCTGGCGGATGTGGGTTGATGGGAGGCGTGGTGGGGGGAGTCTCTTCTCAAAGACGGCGAGTTGCTGTGCGCCATACATCCAAAATCCACATGAAGAAACGAAGAACATCGAAGCCTGAAATGGACGTGCTACTCGTATCTATGGCTCTATAGTGGTCCCAAGCCGACGCCCTACATCGCAACAACCCCAAGCCGTAAACCCTTAAAACCTAGCACCCAGAACATCCACACATCAGGTCCAGCGCTCCATGTCTCCAGCGCGCCAGCGCTTCAGCGCGAGCGTCCCAGAGCCCCATCGTTTCAGTATTCCATCTTCGACGTCCTTCGCACCGCTTTAAACTTGCTGTTAAAAGACTCCCAAACTATCATTCAAAGGTTGTATTGTCCGTCTGTTTAGCGTCTGTTGCATACCTCAAGTACGTGCAGTACGCCGCGCTTTGTCGCATAGCCCACTGCGGTCACACACGGGGAGGCCGCCCCCCCCCCCCCCCCCCCATGCGAGCCGTACTACCCTTCCCCCCCGCACGGCACACGCTCACTTTCCGAATTCAAGTATTTCATCCTCCCATCCCAGTGAGAAGTAGATGAATGAAAGGAAGTAATGTCTAGGTGTGTATGCGGGCTGGGGAGGATAAACAGAACTCATGCGCTTTCCAGCTTTCAATGGGAAGAAGTGGGATGACCTTTCATGAGTACATGCGACGAGTCAAAAAGCCGGACTTCATCGTCAAGCGCAGGCCCCCAGGGTATTCCAGTTTCCAAGAGAAACAAAGCTTGACAGATTCGGTGCTGGTTTTCAGCCCGAATCAGTTTGAAAAAGGAGGTACTCGGGCCAAGTTTCGAGATGCTCCTGCCCAGATTTGGGGCCTTAGCATCCAAAGAAGGTGTTTTTTCGAGGAGACGGAGCTTGGGGATGCACGGGGCTCGGTGGCGCAAGAAACCAAAAGAGGGGGGTCCTTTAGATGACCCCGCGTTTCCTTCACTTCCTTAGGCTTCCCCCCCCGCCCCCAAACCCCCCGCTTGGTTTTGGGTTTGAGGGAGTTTAAGGTTTAGGACTTTTTTAGAGTTTAGCCTTAGGGTGCTTATTGTTGGCTTGCTTTCCGGCTGGTCCCGAGGTCACCAAGAATCCCTACCAAAACCACCTTTAATTATTTGTGTCTAATACTTCTCAAACTTCTCTGACTGAGCCTCATGTTCACATTTGACATGTTGTTCTATTTATCCTGGGGGTACAGCCGGAGGAGGAACCCTAAACCCTTTGGATATCCCACCTTCTGGTAGATGTATAGTTGGGGGACATGCTTGAAACTGGGTGGGTGTTCCTTCTCATTTTGGGATGCGATTTGCAGCTAGAAAGGGATTGTGACTACAGGGTACTTCTGGATTGTAAAACGAGTTTGTTCATGAGATGTGGTGGCGGGGGGGTTATGTAGATTCTGCGCCCGAGGGTTTTAGCGTTTGGGGTTTTTAGGGCTTTCAGGTTTTGAGGGTTTTTCGGGCAGGGTCCGTTTTCACCTGTGTGCCAGCACTCCACGGGCTGTTCGGATTTTAGGGTCTTTCAGTTTTTCCCGCGTGGAACATTTGGCTAGTCTATTTTGCTCTTGGGAGACACAACCTCGTTGGGGCTAATCTATTTTGTTGCCCCAAACACCCCTCCCCCCACCCGCGCGCTAGCCCCCCGCAAGATCAAAATTCAGCAGCTGCCGGGTAGTCAATTTTGCCATGTCTTTCCCCTTCCCCCGCCAGAACAAAATAGACGATAGCCAAATGTGCCGCTGGGCTGGTCAGTCTATTTTGTTGTTTCTCCTCCCGAGAACGCGGGGCGCAAACGCATGTACGGCTTGGGGTTTCAGGTGTTTCGTCTGCTTCGTTCGCATACTTGGCTGAGCTGCGACTTGCCAGCAATATGTACAGATGCTTGTAGTACGTAACTTTACTGCCAGAGACCCCAACGTCCCTTAACTAGGAAACCTTGTAAACTCAGAGCACAGGGGTTGAGGATTTTTCGCATAGCCTTTTTGCCACCTGGAGAAGCCCTCTAGCCTGATCCAAACTCGACTCCTTGTCATAAAGATCGAATTCGACAGAGTTTAGGCTTTAGGCTTTAGGCTTTAGGCTTTAGGCTTTAGGCTTTAGGCTTTAGGCTTTAGGCTTTAGGCTTTAGGCTTTAGGCTTTAGGCTTTAGGCTTTAGGCTTTAGGCTTTAGGCTTTAGGCTTTAGGCTTTAGGCTTTAGGCTTTAGGCTTTAGGCTTTAGGCTTTAGGCTTTAGGCTTTAGGCTTTAGGCTTTAGGCTTTAGGGTTTAGGGTTTAGGGTTTACGGCTTGTTCAGGGCCTTTAGGGCTTAGGGTTCAGGGTTTAGGGTTCAGGGTTTAGGGTGCCATCTGCAGGTCTAGCAGCCACTTCCGTCTGGATCACTGTCTTCACATCCAGAACAGAGCAGTGGATTAAAGTGATTAAAGAGTGCATCACGGGATCCCGCTTGAAGAAGCCTTGGTAACCCAGCAACTATGCCATAATAAGGGTTTAGGGCGACATTATTAAGGGAACTTTGAACCAAACAAAAGGGCAAAAGGGCACCACTGGTCTACCCAGAGGCTTCCCACACTCTTGCAGAGCTCCTTGGTCCGGCTTTGGGGGAACAAAACTGAAAGAAGAGCGGGTACGTTCAATGTAACTTCCCCGCATGTAGCTGCCTGCTTGTACTTGTGCTTGCTGCTTTCTGCGATGACAGGAAACGGTTCTCAAACCTGGCAGGGGGAAATAGCCGAAAAGGTGCCAGAACAGAAGCATGCAGGTTTGGTCAATTCTTCGAGTATCTAACTACCCCGGAAACCTCCAAAGATAGGTCCAGGGAGCTGATTCGGTGGCTTGAACTGAGCGACGCATGCCACCAGCCACAGCGGCGAAAGCACAGGCAGCGAGCTTCATGGCATCTTCAAACCTGCAAGGGCCGCAGCACTCTCAGCCTTTGAGCCTACACTTGCTATCACAAGCTTTGGCCCTGGGGCCTATTAAAAACCCCAAACACCAATAAACCCCAATCACCCAAACAATTTCGGAAGAAAGCCCTTTCCGAATCACAGCTTAAGTGGTGTCGCATGAGATCTCGGTCCATCTTCGTGCTTCCAGCGCCCGTGCCAGCGCAGCTGTACCTGAGGCTGCCGAGTAAGAACACTCGTGGCGGTTTCAGGTCCAGAGTGAGTTGCGGCTCCCGACACCATCCACCCCTTCCCCTCAGTAACCTCGGGAAGAAAGGTGAACTGCGATTTAGACCACGAGAGCCCCGGAAAGTACCAAAACCAACTCACAGACCTCCCCGCAGAGCCTTACATTACCCCTTGATAGAGGCTTTGTCTACTTGAAACGGGTTTGTAGATCTCCCTTCATGTGCATTTCGTGATTCAGGAATCTGAACAAGACTAGGATTCTCAATGCTACTTACTTCTTCGACTACTCGAGGTTCGGGCTTTGGGTCTTGGAGTTTAGGGTACAGGGTTTAGGGTTTGAGGTCTGGGGTTTAGGGCTTAGGGCTTAGGGTCTGGGGCTAGGGTAGAACTTATTTGGGAATTCCTACGTCCAGACACGGGATGCTGCCTTCAAGGGTGGCACGTCAACAGAGCGCGCCAAGAAACTTGCGGATGAGTTCAAGAAGTAGTTGCCGATATTCGCAGCACGCTGCAGCAGCCAGGCGCGCTCCAGTCAGCCCAGAATGGAATCATGGCAGCTGTTCTCAGAGTCCTTGCATCGAGCGACGGCTGGGTCTGTGAGTAGCATTCTTGCATCTGCACTGACTGTTACAAGAATGCAGGGCAGAGTACGCTGAACGGATCCAAGCTTGCTGACCTGTGAAAGCATTCTGATGTTGCGATCGAAGGATGACGGTTGAGTCAGTTACAAGTGTTGGGAGCAACCCGAGGGTGGGTTGGGAACAGGGGCAGGGCGGAACGGGAGAGAGGGAGAGAGAGAGAAAAGGAGAGAGAAGGAGAGAGAAGGGGAAAGCAGGCTGGGGCCTTGCCATGTGAACTCACGAAACACACAGGGCCTGACAGACAGGCTGGGGCCTTGCCATGGGAACTCACGAAAAACACAGGGCGTGACGTACAGGCTGGGGCAATTCCTACTCACAAAACAGCATACATGAGCCCTGCACCCGTTAAACCCAAGAAACCTTCCCTCCAAAGATAAGACAGAGAGAGAGAGAGAGAGAGAGAGAGACTGAAACTGGGAAGGCCGCGTTGTGGATGCCGTAGGAGACCAGAGGCTCCTGCACTGCACTGCCGCCTCGAAGCCCTGGGCTTTTTGGGTTCTTTTTGGGAAGTTGAAGGTTCAGGCTCAGGGCTCAGGGTTTACGGTTTAGGGTTTACTCAACGTTGTCTCTGAGCAACTGAGCGCGACTGCAAGGGTTTTGCGTCTCTTGTTTGTGTTTTGACGCCCGTCTAGCAAAATGGGTTCGACTTAGGGTCGTTTAATTTTGCTTGTGCACCCCATCTAGCAATGGGTTTGCGGCTTTGTTTGTTTGCCGAAGCTCCGCGGGTTTACTGCGCAGCTCGCACTCAGACAGCCCAACTTCAGAGACATGTCGGTGGCATGGGGCACGTGAAAAAGACCATCAGAATGATGCTGCACTTGCCATGCTGTCAACAAACGACCACTGAATATTCACACTTTGTTAAATATGGGAAAAACCCGCCCGGAAACCCCTGAGGACGTGGCGATCACCGGCCTGTCGGCGCGCTGCGCGGACCCACTCTCGAACTTTCAAAGGGTCTAAGACTCTAAGGAGCTAAGGATTCGGAAGTTGCAGGACCGCAGGAACAGCCACACAATCGACTGCGGGAGCACGCGCTGCAGACACGCTGCAGATGGTTGCAGGCCGTGCCTGCTTTCGCTGCTTGGCACGAATGTTGTGATCGAAAGCCAAGGCTTTTGATGCACCTGTCGCTTTGCGCACGATGTCCTTGCAGGGTAGCAGGTCGAGTGACTTTCGTTGACTGTGTTCAAGAACGGACGTGCCTCACATTCGGCGTAGTACTTGTCGATGACCATCTCATTGTCGTAGTAGTCGATGTGTGCCCACTCCTCAGCAGGAACAACAGCAACAGCAACAACAACAGCGAAGACGACGATGACGACGACCACCACAACCACCACCACCACCACCACCACCACAACCACGACCACAACCACAACCACCACCACAACCACAACCACAACCACAACCACAACCACAACCACAACCACAACCACAGCCACAACCACAACCACCACCGCCACAACAGAGTCGAGGCCCTCACTGCGCAGCCGTGTCGCTATTAGTTTTCTTATCGTTGCTGTTGCTGCTGCTCCTTCTTGTTACTTTTCTTCTTCGTCTTCTTCTTCTTCTTCTTCTTCTTCTTCTTCTTCTTCTTCTTCTTCTTCTTCTTCTTCTACTTATGCTTCTTCTGCTACTTCTTCTGCTTCTACTTGCTTTCTTCTTATGTATTATTCTTCCTCTTTCTCTTGGTCTTGCTGTTGGGCTTGCTGTTGATGTTGTTCTTGTGGTTGTTGTTGCTGTTGTTGTTGTTATTGTTGTTGCTTCGCGTTCTTCTTGCTCTCCCTGTTAGACCCCCTGCCTCCCCATACCCGGAAGAACAAAATAGAAAAACGAACAAAGGCTCCGCCTTGCGCCCAAACCCTGGCTCTTGTCGGTTCGGGGCCCCCCTGCGAGAATGAATACATCCTCCCTCCCCAAGATGACCAGTGTGCAAGGGACACACTGGGGCTGGGCAGTCGGGGACACGGTTGGGAGTTGGGCATTTCAGGGATACTTTGTGGTTGGGCACTGCAGGGAGACTCTGGGGCTGGGCAGGGGTTGAAACTCGAGGGATGAGCGAGGAGTATTCCGGGCGAGGAGAGGAGTTCCAGGCGAGGAGAAGAGTTCCGGGCGAGGAGAAGAGTTGAGTTGAAATCTAACAGCCCCACACCGAGGGTGGGGAACAAGAGCCACACTGGTCCGCCCGCCGAAAATGGTCAAATTACACCAGCGAAGACCCCAAACAGAATGCATCGAATCACACGGGTTCAAGATGGAATGCGTTGGAACCCAATCTGGCTTCGCCAGCAGATGCTGCGAAAAATGTTTAAGCATTCGGCAAAATTTTTCTGCGAAAGAAGAATGTAAAGAAGCAGGAAGGGATTTGTCGGCTTACAAAGCAAACAAAAAGCCCTCTTTACACGGAACCGCTGACGATTTTTTCGGCAGACCGAACGAAGGGCCTCCTGCATAGGATCTTGCTGCCGCACAAACCACGCACGGGAAAAACACATACTGTTCCCGCAATTGTTACAACATTGCCGCATTGCAAGACAGGATACCTGGCCTTTGCTTCAGACGTTTGTGGTTTGTGGAAAAACCGCAAATGAGCTTGGTATTGGTATTCGGTTGGCTGTCGCGCGGGAAAAAGTGGGAACTTTGCCGCGACTACTTGGCCAAAAAAGCAGGAAGGGATTTGTCTGCTTTCAAGGCAAAAAACATGCACATGGAACTGTTGACGATTTTTTTCGCAAACCGAACGAAGGGCCTCCTCCTGCACAGGATCTTGCTGCTGCACAAACCACGCACGGAAACAATGTACGAGTACATTTTTCCCGCAACTGCTACAACATTGCCGCATTGCGAGACAGGATACCTGGCCTTTGCTTCAGACTCTTGTGGACAAACGCAAATGAGCTTAGTGGCTTAGTATTCGGTTCGGCTGGCTGTCGCACGGGAAAAAGTGGGAACTTTGCCGCGAATATTTGGCAAAAGAAGCAGGCAGGGATTTGTCGGCTTAGAAGGCAAACAACAAGCTCTCTGTACACGGAAGCATTGACGATTGTTCCGAAGACCGAGTGAAGAAACTCCTGCACAGGATCTTGTTGCAGCAGCAAAAATGCACGCAAAGAATGCACATTTTTCCCGCAACTGCTACAACATTGCCGCATTGCGAGACAGGATACCTGGCTGGATACGTTTGTGGAAAAACCACAAATGAGCTTTTACAAACCAAACAAAAAGCCTCTGTTACACGGAAACGTTGGCCATTATTCCCGCAAACAAAACGAAGGGCCTCCGGACCTTGCTGCCGCACACACGACGCGCGGAAAAAAAGCACGTTTCTCCCGCAACTGTTAAAACGCTGCCGTGTTGCGAGACAGGATACCTGGCTGCATACGTCTGCGGTAAAAGCACAAATGAGCTTTTACAAAGCAAGCAAAAAGCCTTCTTTACACGGAACCCTTGGCGATTTTTCCCGCAGACGAAACGAAGGGCCTGCTGGTCTGCTGCACAAGATCTTGCTGCTGCAACGGAACCGTTGGCGATTTTATCCGCAGACCGAACGAAGGAAGGGCCTCCTGCACAGGATCTTGCTGCCACCACGCGCGGAGAAAATCACATTTCTCCCGCAACGGTCGCAACTGTTACAACATTGCCGCAGTGCGAGACAGGATACCTGGCTGCATATATTTGTGGAAAAAGTACAAGTGAGCTTTTACAAACCAATCAAAAAGTCTTCTTTACACGGCACCGTTGCAATTTTCCCGCAGACGAAACGAAGGGCCTGCTGCACAAGATCTTGCTGCCACAACGGAACTTTTGGCGATTTTATCCGCAGACCTAACGCAGGGCCTCTTGCACAGGATCCTTCTGCCGCACACACCACGCGCGGACAAAATGCACATTTCTCCCGCAACTGTTACAACACTGCCGCATTGCGGGACAGAATACCTGGCTGGATACGTGTGTGGAAAAAGCACAAGTGAGTTTTTACAAAAGAAACAAAAAGCCTTCTTTACACGGAACCGTTGACGATTTTTTCCGCAGACCGAACGCAGGGCCTCTTGCACAGGATCTTGCTGCCGCACACACCACGCGCGGGAAAAATGCACATTTCTCCCGCGACTGTTAC